CCGGGAGCAGCCCCGACGCGCGCGGGCCCCGACCGCCGGGGTTGTCATGGCAGCAGCTCCATCCCTGACCGCCACTTTCTCTCGGTGCCGACTCCAAGCAATCCGGCGGGCGGGTGGCACGGACTGCGCGCTCATCCCGGCGGGTGCGGGGCGCGGGAGCCCACCTTAACCCCCGCCGCGCCGGGCCAGGACAGGGCGGTGCACTACCTCTGGCCACAGGTTTAACCATTTCTGGACTTAAAGAGCAAGCTCTTCGCAATTAAGAAGACAAAGTTACTGTGAGGTCTTAATAAGCCCGAGACATCTTATTAAGGGTCACAAACTAACTAGGAAGAGAAGAGCCTGCAGCATGAATATATGCACCTTTAAAATGGTCAAATTAATTCTATCAGCATTTAGAGTAGTCTTAGGAGGATGCTCACATAGTCTCATTTTTATTCAACGTTACACTACCCTCTGCATTCCACCCACCCACCCCCAAAGCTCCTTAAAACCCCATAGACTAAACACAGTCATTCTAAATAGAGATAGTCCAGGAAAAATTAAAAATATGAAAATTCCAGAAGCATCTTGGTGGGTGAAGTGAGCAAAATCCCATTAAACCCGTTAACATGTTAGTCAAGTTGAACACTGCCTTTCTTAGCCCCCTGCCCCCTCCTCTCTCTCTCTCTCTCTCTCTCTCTCTCTCTCTCTCTCTCACACACACACACACACACACACACACACACACACACAGAGTATGCTATCTGGTAAAAGGCACACAGGCTTGGGCCAATGAAAGCCATTGCCTAGTTTATAAGGAAGATTCTCAACGCTCTGGGTTCACACCCTGGCATACCTGATTTCATCTCCAAGAGGTGTGGCTTTCTTTAAACCATTGAAACCCAAAGAAAGACTGGGTATAGCTCAGGACCTGTGACTTCTCCCTGTCTGTTGCAGGTTCCTCTGTGCCTACATTGTGTTTCTCCCTTCACCCTAGCTCTGATGGACCATGCCTAGTCCTGCTGCAGGGAACAGAGTGAATCGGTAGGAACACTGAGAACAACACCAACAGGCTCCCTTCTCAGGGACTTCTAGTCCGGAGCTCCCAATAATGACTTAAATTGTTCCTGGGAATAGGCCGGAGGATGTGATGGTTTTGTTTGTTTCCACTGGCCTTTCTGATGCATAACAATTGGGATACTAATTTTAAAACAAACTATAAAATGACAGTTAAAAACAACAACAACAACAACTCTTCCTCAAAGCCATCCAACACCAGACAACAAAATACCACTACAAACATGATTAGTCACAGCCGTGCTGGTATTACAGGGCCCTTGACACTATTGAGTAACACCAGCCATTTCCATGTACACAGCATGTAAGGATCCACACGTGCGCTTCTCCCACAATATCCCCCTCATGCTACACCTGAGGGAGGGGAGGGTAGAGGTCAGCTTTGGAATATGTTAGCCAAATTCAAGGGCCACAAAGGAAGACGAGCAAGCTTTGTTTTTCTCTGTTTTTACACTTGCTCAGGCAGTATCGAGCAACTTTACGCCGGAGGTGTCAAAATGCTTGACATCAATTCATTACTAGGCCAGTTCCCCACTGTCTCCTCCGGTGACTTTTTCTGATATTAAAGTCCCAGGGAACTCATCCACTATTTTTGAACCCAGGAAACCTTTGGATATACAGTGCCAAAAATTGTTGTTATTTGGCAATAATAAATGGCTTTTTTTTTTCTGGAGCCTATTTTGTCTCATTTTCCAGTGGGAAAATATGAAGACTGTAAATTAAACTATTTCATTCAGTTGAGCTGCTCCTGAGTATAGACAGAAGACTTGAGCTTCTCTCTGTTGATTAGCAGGCTGATGAGTTTAAGATTCTCTCCTTAAAGCCACTGTGTCATCCCTAATAATCCATCAGCTATTCCTCTATGGCCCTGTCGTAACCCCTAAGTGTCACACTCAGTGAAAACAAATGCTAGACACACGGAAGAGGAAGGAACTCATTCCGGTCTTTGGCGTCATTTCCCTACAGACCCAGGCCCGAGACTGGAGAGGCTGATTCTTCTCATGACAAATTCTAATTCAGTCGCTTGCATCTAATTCCAGGTAGGTACAAATGAGCATTAGGTTTTGCATCTAGGAATGGGGATAATGACAACCAACATCCTGTCCCAAGGGACCTACATACATGATTAACTCTACAGGAATAATACTTAGAAAACCATTTAAGATGAAAGAGGCTTTATTAATACATTTTTTCCCTGAGACTGCTTCGTTATTATGGCTAGACAGAAAAATAATCTTCAAAGGCTCCTTGAGACACAGTCTACACTGGCCTGAATGTACTTCATCTCAGACAGGCAGAGCATCTATCTCTGACCCTGAAGAGAAGTGTTGACCTGAAGCATCCTGGTGGCTGTCCACAGAGAGCCCATCAGAGCACAGGGAACCCTCAGGGAGGACAAAGAAAAGTCACTCATAATCTCTGCTTGGAGGAGCCAGGGATCCAAACTCTGTTCACAAATAAAAGTCAAGAAAGGGGCCGAAGGTCAGAGATGCCCACACAATTAACAAGACAGTTCTGCTTAACCCAAACCTGCTATTGAAGTGCTTTAAAAAGATGAAGATCCAAATCGCATGTCAATTGCCTTCCCATCCCCTAATCCCTAAATATAACCAGCACTTAGTGGCTTATCTTATATCCTGTCTCTGGTTTCATAAAAACTGCTGGATTTATTTTATTTTTCCCAGCACATCTGAGTTAATGAAAAAGGGATGACAGTCAGAGCAATTTCACTATTTGTGTTCTTTATAGAAACAACTTCCTCTCTGCCTCCTGGAAAGCAGACTCCTAAAGAGTGCCACCTCCACCTTCTCCCCCACCCCACCCCGTCCTCCTCTCCTTCCTCCCTTCTTTCTCACAAACACATATACTGTACACATAAATCAACTTGTCACAGCTTGTCTCTGCACTGACAGCTGTAATTGCTTCAGGTTATAAAAATATCTTTAGGACAATACCTTTCAAGCTCTCTCTCCCTCTCTCTCTCTCTCTCTCTCTCTCTCTCTCTCTCTCTCTCTCTCACACACACACACACACACACACACACACACACACACACTCACGCATGCACGCACGCACACACATACGCACTGAGGTAGATAGGTGTGGTCCATACCTGCATTGTCACGTATACACTGAACTAGGGTTTGGACAAGGAGAAGCCCTGACCGACAGGCAGTCAGCTGGGATTTTGTTTTGTTTTACTCTATGTTACCTACAGCAAGGCTGGGGTGAGCTAAAGAGCTGCGGTTATTCCACCATGCAAGAGACAGCGGAAGAGCAGTAGCTTAAGAAACGCCAGCTCTATTTCTCTACAAAGGCGAAAGGCCCCCCTCTCCTGGTAGAGATTTCAAATAGAAGCACAGGCGAGATGAAAAATGCAGGGCAGTTAGTGAGTGGCGTGACATCAAATAGATATTGGAAAATTTAATCAGAAGGAGCAGTGTAAATCTGGATAAAGAGGTGCCTCCAGGGGTGTAGGAAAGGGCTGGGCTTTGGAAAAATGCATGCTATTTTTTGCCTCTCTATGAATACAGTATCACAATAAAAAAATCACTGATCATCTGGGCCTCAGTCCAATGTGTGAGGATTTCAGTGGAAAGAGCAATAGGGCAACATGAAGAGGGGAAGAGGGCCGCACGAAGAGAAAAGAGGTCAGAAACAGAGTGATCCGAGAAGGCAATGAAGAAAAGGCAGGGACATGGCTGCCTGTCCACGGGCTTTGAAACCTACAGAACTTTATAAGAGATGCACAAAGTGAAGAGATTGGAGTGGAGAAAGCTGTGGAGGGCGACTGAATGAGCTAAAATCAAAGTGCCAAGAATAAAAAGGGTAGGTATCCAGAGAGCACATCCCAAGAGTCACAGAGGTTGGGGCAAAATTGTCTCTTATGTAAGATTTAGGTCATAGTAAAACCTCAGACCCAGAGAATCACAGAACACTGTGTCGAGTAGGATGTGGGAAGATGTGCACTACACACCCTTCACTTTAGGAAGGAAGTACTGAGCCCCAGTAGGCCATATTAGGTATAATGCTAATAATGAGTGAAGCAGGACACGAACTCAGGGCTCCTGATCCCTGGTCCAGTCATCTTCCCGTTATTCCATGACTGTGGACACAGTTGAAGAGATGAGCAGGAAACACCGGCGTTTACTGCTTTGTCTGGGGCCAAACAGACAACCACGGAGGGGGCTACAAGCTGTTCATGATATTTCTGGGTATCCAGCGACTCCACTGAATCTGAAGCATTCAGGAAACCAGCATGTATAGGGCACATGTTGAGAATTAGATAAAGAAAGACGGAGCAAAGCACACCTGCTGGCCCTCCAGTTCCCAGCAGTCTGGTGCTCCTGGGTTTCCCCGCAGTCGTTATTTACACTGATATTCACAGGCATTGAAGTTCTAGTCAATTCGGACTTGTTCTCCCCTCGGCTGAGGAAAATGGGTAGAAATCTACCTTCTCCTTAAGAATCAAAACTGTGGTACGTGTTCAGGTTTCTAGGC